GACGGTGGACATCCCCTGACTACACCATGTGGAGAAATGTGGGCAAGGAGCCAGCCCCCTTCAACCTGTACATGTTCAAGAACAACAATCCTCTCAGCAATGAGCTGGATTTGAAGAACTACGTTACAGGTGAGACTTCCCTACCTGGGTACAGCAGTAACATCCTGTCAGGTGGCTGTCCTGGGAGACTGCAGGACATCTGGGGGAGGGCCCAACACATTATGGTAACACTTGATGGTAAATCTCTAGTCCTGGCAACCCAGGGCACTGCAGTATCATGTCCAGGGAAATGGAGGAACGATGCAGTGATTATTCTGGGTCATTTCCTGACCACTTCACATCCATTTCATTGAAATGGCTTTTCTGAGAGCCCTTCCTGCCTCAGAAGGAGTCAGCTGACAGAGGGGCCTATACCATAAATGCATAGTTCAAATTCATTCTCTGTCTGTCTGTCTGTCTGTCTGTCTGTCTGTCTGTCTGTCTGTCTGTCTGTCTGTCTGTCTGTCTGTCTGTCTGTCTGTCTGTCTGTCTGTCTGTCTGTCTGTCTGTCTGTCTGTCTGTCTGTCTGTCTGTCTGTCTGTCTGTCTGTCTGTCTGTCTGTCTGTCTGTCTCTCTCTCTCTCTCTCTCTCTCTCTCTCTCTCTCTCTCTCTCTCTCTCCCTAGAGCTAGCAGCCCAGTCTCTCAGGGGAGTTTCCTTCTCTGTGAAGGGCACCACATGGAGGGAAAGTGAAGCCCGGCTTGACTTCTCCCCATCAAGGTTGCCATTACCAGCAAAGCAATGAGTTAGCACAGATGCCTAAGCCCCTATTCCAGACCTCCAGAGGTTTCCCTGGTGAGATACATACACAGAGCGTGAGCAGTGTCTCAGATAGAAAGTAGTCTCTGCTCCCACAGAGATGTCTGCTCAGCTATTTATCCAAAAGGCATCCCTATAGTAGTAGCACCATGCAAGATTCTTAGGGTACAGCAGTGGATAAGCCAAGCACTTTTCTCTCAAGTAAGTGTGTATACTCTCTGTGTGTGGCAGAGAGAGAGCGAGAGAGAGAGAAAGAGAGAAAGAGAGATTTGTTTGAGAGACACAAGTGAGTATGTTCATATTTTAAAGATATGGCACAATATAGAAGAGGGTGTGTCAGACTGAGCATGAAGAAGGAAAGTGGTCTGCACTGACTCAAGGCTGAGAAGACTATAAACAGAAGTCAGCAGGGCACAGAAGCTTGCAGACAGGGCATGTGGGGGAAAGATGATCCACTTCACAGAATATAAGCAAGAAGTTGGTGAATGAGATGCCCTGCCCACCCTCTGTCCACCCATCCAGGAAAGATCCTGGAGATTCTGGTGTAGTAGATGTAAGACAGTTGGGAGCAGGACAAAGTACTTGTCCTTGGAGAGATAGAAGACAAAGAAATCTGGATGTGTGGATGGACGCAGAGGGATTAGGGCCAACAGGGTCAACTTCTAGCAAGCAGGCAAGAGTAATCTAATCTGGCCATGTACTCTATAGAAGAGTCATAAAGGAAACCCAAGAACAGGGCTCCCTATGTTCCAAGAGACCCCACAGCTCTTAGCCATGACTATAGAGGCACCCACACTCAGGTGATCACTTCTCCATCCCCCAAAATGGGAAAGGAAGCCAGAGCTGCCTGAAGCACAGGGCTGCCTTGATGCCTCACACAGCAGCTATTGGCTTCCATGGTCAACTGTGGCCATGCAACACATCACAGACAAGCTTTACACCTTTAGGAACTGAAACCAGTGTCCATTTCCAAGCAAAGCAGCTAGACCCTTAGCACCCAGGATCTATGGCTAAGCTGGTTCCTCCCCATGTCTCACCGGGAGCTGCCTGTTCTGATGCCCTGCCAAATCTTCCTCTCTTCCCCATTGTTTAGCAAGACTTTGTCCCCAACTCACTACAATTTCAAATTTAAGTATCTTTCAGGAAACCACACACACACACACACACACACACACACACACACACACACACACACACACACACACATGTAATGGTGAGTGCTATGAAGACAAAACAGGACAAGGGGTTACCTAAAGAGTGATACCAAGTACCCCTTTATTTAGAGAGCCTTGCTGGGCAAGTGACAATTGTGGAGAGAGCTTTTTGAGCTAGAAGAGAGAGGCTAATCATGTTTGAGAAGATACCCAGTGACCCTGGAGGCAGAGCAGGTCTGCCTCAACTTGGGGAACGAAGGGACAAATCCTGTTCCAGAAACATATGCTTCACACAGCCTTGCCTAGCACTGGACATCTTAGCAATTAATCAGCCAGAAGTGAACGAAGAGAAGCCCACATGCTACCGAGGCACAAATGAAACCATTCACAGACTCACCAAGACCCTCAGCTCTGTTTCTACTTCCCTGGGAGAAAAGAAAAGAAAAAAGAAAAATGAGATTAGCAGGGTTTTTCTGACCAGCAAGATGGCTTTCCTAATCTCAGGGCTTCATGGAGACTGGATAAGTGGGAATCAAATCAATCTGAACGAAGTCCAGCCAAATTGAATCCAGAAACAATTAGAGAGAGTCTAAAATAAAGGGCGGATTCACAGAAGCTGCAGTGGCAGCTGAGAAAGGGAGCTGGGAGAGCAGCCAGGCCAGGTGGGACCACACCTGCAGCCACCTGCTCCCACCAGCTGTCCCTGAGAGAATGGGCTCTGCAGAGAACAGCAGTTCTAACACTGGCTCACCCGCACGCCCTGTCTAAATCAGCCTTAATTTGCCACTTAGGAGACTTGCAGAGTGGTTGAACCTGCTTCTCACAACCCAAGTGGAAGAAGCAATTAAGATGTAGCCAGGACAGGACAGGCAGGCCTACACAGAGAAATCCTGAAAAACTAGAAAAAAAAAAAAAAAAAAAAAAAAAAAAAAAAAAAAAAAAGAATTGGTCCGGAATCCAGAAGAACCCATGCTGTTTGGAAACAGCTCTCTGAAGGAAAGTGTCTGTTCCTGGTACAGAAACAGCTCCAAGTTCATCCGAAAACACTGGGGCAGAGAAAATGGGCACAGAGGAAACTGCTCAGTGTTGGACACAGTGGACCCATGCCCAGCCTGAGCACTACCTGTCCTCTGCCACCTCCTTCTGATGTCAGAACCTGGGGACAGTCCCCAAACACCAATCCTGGCCTCACCACTCACTTGCTGATACAAATGTCTTGAGCTTTCTGAGTCTTAGTCTTCTCAACTGCAAAATGATGGTAACAACTACACTCACCTCACGGAGTTGTGAAGACATTGAATCAGCCAGGCACATAATCACACATTCATTAATGAGAGTGGCAGTGAAATGGAGACACCTCCAGATGTGCCTTCAGACTGAGCTCATGTATCCTTTTAGGCCCCAGACATTAGAGTTAAGTGAACATTCCAGAAGGAGTGTGATGAGCCACCTTCCCTTTTGCCCTCTCTCCCCAAAGAGTCTTGGATGCACAAGTCAAAGGCATGCTACAGCTGGATAAGTTTGTGTGTTTAATCTCTCTGAGGAGAACCACACCCATTTCATGTCACCTTCTTTGCATATTTACACTTAACATCGGAAGGTGCTATGACAATTTTCAGAGAGTGTAGAGTGCCAGTGGTGGCAACAGAGGTGGCATGGCCCCATGCTGTGGAGAGTATGAGAAGGGAAGGAAGGGTAGCTCTTAGAGTGGCTGGGTTGCTTTCCCCCCCTGCCTCGTCATCTGCCTCTGGACAGGATGTTTGTTTGGGGGACCTGTCTTCCGTTACACTTGCCAATCTAAAGAGACTGGAAGGACCTGCACTGCCCCTGATGGGACCAGGATACGATCCATGTCTTAAACAGAGGTTTCACAAGTTTGCCATGAGAAGCAAAGTATGTCCTATGTGGCAGGACACACTTGTAATCCCAGTGCAGGACGAGGAAAGGGAGGGGGAAAGGAGGGAGGGAGGGAGGAAAGGAGAGAGAGAGGGAAGAAGGAAGGAAGGAAGGAAGGAAGGAAGGAAGGAAGGAAGGAAGGAGGGTTAAAAGAACAAACGGGAGAAGGAGGAGGAAGAGAAAGAAAGAGGCGGACAAGGAAAAGGAGAAACAGGAAATAGAAACTAACCTAACAGTTTCCATTCACAGGAGTGCTCTTTCAAATCCCTGGTCTTGAGCAGTCAAGATGGTTCAGTGGGTAGAGGTGCTTGCTCACAAGCCTGACAATCTGAGTTCAATCACCGGGACCCACATAGTGGAAAGAGAGAACCAACCCCCTCAAGTTGTTCCCTGACTGACACTAGGCTGTGGCAGGCACTCCCCTCTCCAGATACTTAAGTCTGCTTTAAAACACAGCTTTTCTGCTCTGAGATGTGCTCACCGAGGAGAGCAAGGAGACCATGGGGGAGGGAGGGACCTCCTCAATGGAGGAGGAGGAGGATGAGGACAAGAATTCCCGACAAGTCCTGTCTGTCTCTAGTGAAATTTATGCAGGTTTATATGGTACACAGAGGAGGGATTCAGTGCCACAAGCACTATGGGGGGGTGTCACTTCTCAGGGTCTCTGAGCTCTGTCACTTAGTTGCATGTAACAACCCTCTTTAACATACATGTCTCATCTTTCAGCCAAGAGAGCTGGTCTAAGACTGACTCTCTGGCAGAGACCTCATTGGTGTTTGCTGGAAAGTGCATGGCTTTGTCTCCTCCCTTTCGGTTTTACAGTTAGCTTGGGGTTTACAAGTCAGTCCTGTGCCCTGTGTGGCAGTTATGTTCATTTTCTAAATGGATCTCCCCAGGTTTTAAAAAAAGGCGCATTTGTTTTTTAGATTAGTAATTAAATTATAGTGCCGATGGCACCTGGGAGTGGTGGAAAATAAAAAGTCATGGCAAGTGTCCATAAATATCCCAGGATGAAAACCAGTGTCCTGTGGCACCAAACATCTGCCTGGCCATAGTGGGCAATGCCGTGTATGCTGCGGCTACACTAAAGCCATTTATGCTTGGTATCCTGTGTGTGTGTGTGTGTGTGTGTGTG